TTGCAATTTCGGCCTTAAAACTTTATAAACAATAAAATGAAGATAGCAAACGTACTTTTATTGTTTATAAAGTTTTAAGGCCGAAATTGCAAAATCAGCCCTTGGAGTCGCATCCGCCAAAGTGTAACGAATATATTAAAACCAGAATTATTAGAAAATATTGCTTCTTTGCTTCGATATCCTGGAAAAAAAATCATGCTAGCCTAATCGTCCTATCCTCGTCTCTTCTGCAATTGTAGTATCGCGCTCTCTGTCCTTGTCCCGGAGTTTCCTACTTTTTCCGCAACTGTCGCTGAAGTCAACTCGGAGTTTGGCTCTGGCTCCTGCGCACCCTTAATTATTACGATTTCTATAATGATACATTTTAATATTCATGATTTTGCGCTGATAGCCACAATAATAGCCATAGTAATCCTCCTGTTACCATGGATACGACACTGTTAACGGTTCTGGTTGCGCATGCGCGGAAAAACACGTCCCGACTGCCATCACTGTGCCCAGGACGTTACGCGTGGGCGCGCAAAAGCCCGTGGGCCCTCGTTGGGGAAGGTTTCGCGCTTCGCTGCTCGCACGAGCTCCCGTATCTCTTACATCCACTTTACACGCAACGTTAACAGAACAAACGACGTCGGTCACACTTACTTGCACATATCGTGTAATCGTTGCATAGCTTCCAGCAGATCCTCGGAAGTTCTGGCGTCTGCCGCCCGATCAAGTTGCTTCACCACGGCTGGCCACCATGGCAGATCACAAGGTAGCATCACCTGGGCCATTTCTGATCCCCACCGATCTAAGAATCGAATAACTCTGTACGATCTACTTTGTTTCAGGGTATACTAACGAATAATTAATATACATCAGACGAGAGACGTTGCGTAACTGTTCGGGGACGAACTATGAAGATTAATTCAGATTAATTCAGATTAATTCAGATCGCAATTTTTATTAAACAGATTGGGTTGTATGTATTCCGTTAGTCCATCTCTGACGTTCTTTACGTGCATGGAATTGTATAGATATACGCTCGACAGAACACGCGTTTACAATAGCTATGGTTCACGATGTTTAACATCAACGGCATAAATAAACCGGTGCGCCTCGCGTTACACGTAAGAAAATAGATCGTCAGTCGGCGAACCGAATTTTAGAAGGGAAATCCTCCTTGGCGATAGGCCCACTATTAGTTTCACAGTCTATACGGTATCGTTCGGTAGAAACACTTCGATATCTTCGCTATATTAATATATAGAAAGGAATATTTATAATAAAAATAACAAAGCGTTAAGATATCGAAGGCAACGCTTATAATGATTAAGTATATATAAAATTGTTCTTTCGAATTGAAAACTAGGCGTTCCGTTTCTAGCGGACCACCCTTTCTTTGTATCTACGTAGGCGGAACGAGCGTGCTTGGCAGCCAACATCTGGACACTTGTTGTGCGAATCATGTTTCAACCACTATCGTGATACGTTTGAAACGTATTCGACGATCCTTCGTAAAAAACCATTAAAACCTATATCAAATATTGTAACATAAACAAAGATTGCCATGTAAAACCCAGAGGTAACTGAGAGTCGCTTCGCGAGTGCAAAGGGTTAGTTATTCCGCCTGATTCACGAAGCGTTGTAGGAACGTTTCCTTTCTAGTCAAGCGCGAGTAGTGCGAGTTTAAAACAACCGCGGGAGACTAATGAATCGTCCACAAAGGCGTGCGTACCTTTACGCGCGAATTGTCGCGTAAAAATAATTATTCCATAGTTATAAAATGAAAGCAGGTCTCACGGGTCGCGTGGCTCGTTATCCTTCGTCCCTTGTGTAAAAATACGCGTTGATTACTTCGAAAGGAGCCTCGAATAATCAACGAGAGAAGAAATTATTTCCTTTGCGACTGGATCAGGTAATATCATTGTTCCATTATAGCAATTTCGAATAAAACCAACGTATCGCGATTTATTGGAGAATTAATATTAATTCTCATTATTCGATACGTTTATCTAGATAATCGGTTTGGTCATCTGGGATCTGGATAAATGGAAGGAGGGGTGAACGAATGGATCCCGGGGTAACCACGCGGATCATCGAAACTGCTCGTGCGTCTGGCAGAAGGGGTTGTCCGATCTGGTTAGTAACCTTTCGACACGAGGAGAATATAATTAGTTTGTCTGTAACGTGCCGGGTAGAAAACTATAGAAGTTATCGCAGAGTGGCCGAGAGGGAAGCGCGTCGCGCCCAAGGTAGGGCCACGGCCCCTTCTAAACTACAATTTACATAATCACCTATTTCGCTCGATACACGTTGTCGATCAGCTGACGTGATCGAAGCGTGAACGAAGAAGTCACATCTTAAAGTGTGCCATTGCGTCAACGAACACGCCGCACCATCGTTCGTGGAGAGATCACTCGTGTAATTTTAGCTTAGTCCTCGAAACGTAGGAAACACCGGCATAGAGACGACATTCGATGGCGATATTTCTCTGATACTTTCGATGATTGTCGGCGTTAATGTTTGTGATTGTTCGATACGATATCGGCTAGAACGTACGACCACGGCGAGCTTGACGCGCGCGAAGCCGTCAAATTGATCGGCACACGATGCTGAGAGGAAGAACCGAATATACATTCGCGAGTAGGTGGGCACAAAGCGGCGAAATGTACCACCGTTAACTACTATCGTCGTCGCGCGCACACGATCCGCTGTCTTTCCTTTTACTTTGTCTACATGCCGCAGCCCGCGGTTGGCGTTGTACGACGCTATTTATAGAGCGGCGCCGGCGCCTTGCCAAACCTAGAAACCCTATATAGAATTTTTGACAGGGAGCTTGTCTCTAACTCTTTGTCGAATATGACGTCTGCTGAACTCTTCTAATACTGGAACAGGCCACCAAGACTCGTTTTCACTACGAGAAGACTGCCACATTCGCTGCTAGAAGAATGCCATCTCCACTACCAGGATATTATTGAAGGGTGGCAATTTAATAAGTTGCACATTTCGATAAATTCAAGAATACGATATATTACATAATACTGACGCGTTATACACGAATGTACATCATTGTATATCATTATCTATGTATATCATTAATAGATAAAATAACATCTAGGTATATCATGAATACTTAATAATATAATATGTATATCAATATTAATAGTTCCATTGTTATGAGAAGTATTTAAGTTTCAGTGTACAATCTGTATTTAACTTAATTATACGATGTTTATATGTAAGATCAAGATTGTAAATTTTAAATTGTAAATTTAGAAAATAAAATAAAATTAAATAACAATCGTATCTTATTTACTTTAATCCACTCTCAGATTATATATCCTTTCCCGAAAATTAGCCTCTTGAAGTAGGCAACCCGTATTGACACGTATGTCGGACCCGTTGCGTGTCCGTAGGCGCAAACGTGCCACCTCCTCGCGCATCATGTGTTCCTGATACAAAAATCCAAAATCGGCCAGAATTTCGA